ACCGTCGCGCGATTTTTGACGATATGATATGGCTTTCAACAATGCGATATAGAAATAATCATTTACCACAGTCCTACTTAATTGTTACTCATCCAACATAAATTAAGTATGGTTTGTATTTATTATTTTTATTATTAATTCAAAATAAAATTAAAACATTTAACAAAATAAACTAAAAACCGGTAGTAGCGCTATGTAAATTAATTATTAACTATATCATAGCTGTTCCGGTGTCCATAACAGAAACTAATATTTTATATCAGTGATTTTTTTATTTCAGAATGAGCTTTGCGAATAGACATTGGAAGGGGCCGTCTTCATGGTGGTCACTAATATAATATAATAGAAGCAAAATTGTGTTAAAGGTGACACTTAGCATACTAATCTTCTGGGTTGCTTTTCTTATGAGTATATATATATATATACTCATAAGATATATATAACACTCATAAAACATACACTAAATAGCGGTACATTTAGTGAGCGGACGGCGAATCAATTACGCAGCTCTATAGAGTTATTAATTATAGTCACTTGAAGCGTGCATGCAACTGTCGCTCCGGGAACCGTACCACCAAATCTGCCAAGTTTACAAATCGACCGTTTTACGTTTGTCCGGTCTACCTACTATGTTGTACCAATTAACCACATCGCGAACTTCTTAGATTGGTAAACATAGTAAGTTACATTGACCGACGAATGATAGCATCGATACTTGCAGTATATTTTAAACTGTTAACAAAATACTGTATGCCAATAGGAGTGAGCCTCATATTGTCATATAAGTTAGTGACTCTTTTCGTTAAATCGGATTGATATTTACAATTAATCTCAAATCTCCTCTTGCTTTATCACTGTTATTTTTTTTCGTTACTCTTTGTCGGCTTTGATAACATTTGCTGGCACTGTTATGTAGGAAAAAAAGCTATGTGTCTTTCTAATTCAAAAGCTGTATTCAAAATAATTTTAGTAGTTTTATGACCAAATTCATAAACTATTTAGGATGTTGATAATGTTTGAGACATGGAGAATTATTTTCGCTCATGTATTAGGTGTATGTACAATACACGTACGTGCGTACTCAGTACAGTAACAAATATCATCATTGCTATCTTAGAAAATGGCACAACATGGTATTTTAGTTGCTAAGCGCGCGTATTTTGTTCCCATTTTTAGTGGAAATTTTCCTTATACATTTTCCTACTGTGAGATGGCATTTTTTATATAATAGCCGAATCCCGTGCTTATCCTCGTCGTCATCGTGTATTCAAACAATACAGCCTTGACACCGGATGTTCTTTTTTTGTCGGTCATTCGACACTACAAATATCTCTACGAACAAATTATATACGGATGACTCTTTTTGTAAGAGAAGCATGGTTTTGGCCAATAGTTAGCTAATTATGGATATTAGTAAGCAAATATTGATTGAAGATAAAATTTTTGACTACGTTCGGACCCATTAGTTTTTTTTTATGAAAGTAAATAATTATCTTTATTTATTATCATTTTGAAAACAAAGCACGAGAGCAGGTGGATTACATTGCCTCTTTTACTTTACTTCTCTGTACTTATTTATTTCTCATTACATTACAGACCCCCAAAAAGTCGAAATGACAGCAATGCTTCTAAAGACATTCTAATTAATTGCTACTCACAGAGCTGCCTTATTCGGAACGACATTTATAAAGATAACGAATTAACGCAAGAGAGGAGGATTAATAGAAAAAGGCAATTAAAGTAATGGGAGCATGAGCCTAGCGGCGCATTAATTAAGAAATAGCACCGTGACGATAATTCCGCCAATCCATTACAAGAGAGCTGGCCGCTGTCGCGAGTAAGAGGCTTGTTCTACCACTTCTTTTTGAGAGCAAAGCTTGACTCGCCGTCTTTATCCTCTTTGTGGTGGTGGGTTAATTTAAGTGATTTCAAACACAGGTTTTAACTCATTCATATAGCCTTCATTGTTCCTGAATCGTATCGAATAGACTACAATCTTCATATTACATAACCACGATTTTGACACAGTACAATTTAAAATAAGTACATGTTCTGATAATTGTATAAATCATTATCATATTATGTCGTTCGGCGGCACGTTTGCGCACCCGCGGCAAGCAAATGCTTTCATTTTCTGCTGGCGGTTTTTTTGTAAAACCTTTTTGTGACTAAAGGCGAAAAATGTGTTTGTAGCGATCCGGTTGCGATCGTGTCCCAAATATTAAATATTTATTGTAGGTACATAATGGCACTTTAAATTGCTTTTAATATAAATATTTTATTTTGTAAATAAATAGTTCAAAATTAATAACATATAATCATGAATGATGTGTAATATTGTTATATGTAATATAAGTAAGAAAAAGCACCTTGTGGTACACAAGAAAAATGCGAGATATATTGTATACGCTTGTGCTTATTTGATACGTGATGTAGATGGCTTTCATATTACAAATATCAGGAAAACTCTTATTGCTTGCTTACTGATCTTTAAAGAAACATATTGTGCTACCGGTATAATGTTTATACTATGGTAATTGGTTTACCTTTTTGCTTATCTTAAGCATGCTGGCTTACGCAGGTAGAACATTAAACCTGAATTAACACATCTCGAGGCTTACAATGTATTAATTAATACAACTTTTAGGCATATATTAGTGATATATTTATTCCCTTTTTACTTTATTTCAATGAAATCGATGTTCTTTTTTGTATCAACTGATGTGAAAGAAGGCAAGGTCGGTATGCGAGTAAAGAAAATAATTTTTTTTTGTATATTGTCCAGATGCTTGCAACTGTAGAAAGCACTATAGGCAAAGATAAGTAAATAAATAAATAGTAGCACTTACAACACAGCCATATATAACACTTTCCCGCCCTAAGCGAATCGCGACAGATGTCAAAGTGGTAATAAAAGTTTTCCCCGTCTCAACGTTTGGATACACATTATACATTATATACTGATGTCCGTTTCTCCAACTCCCCCGGGATAGCCGTCATAGATATTTCAGAGGAAAAATATTATAACTAAGTAATATAACTTCGATTCATTAACTCTATCAGAGAAAGTTAAAATTTTTTGCCAGCTCTGTGGATGAGCTGCTTAACTTCTGAAAATTATGTACATTTTTTTTGTACGATAATGGTAGCTTTCGCAGAATTTGCTTAGAATAATAAATGATCGGAATGGACAGAGTATACAAATTCACATATACTTCATGTAATCACATAGAGTGGATTTTACCTTTCTCTGAAATCCCTGAATGATTAAAAACTAAGCAAAAAATCAAAACAAAATACTTTTGTTTGTACGTACTTACAATCACAAAAGTTTTCTTCTTTAAAATAATTGAAACTTACAACATACACACTACTTGTGTAATAATTCAATAAATAAGAATAAAGAATGAAGTGTTTTTTTTCCCCAATTTACATATTTTCCAAATATAACATTTACTGTTTTCTAACAATGAAGACATTGTCCACATTCTCTTCGTTTCCTGGGTCGTCGCTGCTCTGAGCCAGTCGCCATGAAGCGAAATAATGCAATTGGTTGGATAATTAAATGCTTATTTTACCTACAATTCGGTTGCTCAGCAAGATGCATTTTTCGAAAAAATCTTCACGACACCGGGATTGGATAACAAAAATGAACGTTTAAAATGTTAAGATGTTAAATGTTAATGTTAAGATTCTAGTTATTTACAGTACTGAGATTCAGTTGTCGTATTCCTGGTCAGACCTTTAAGATTTATAATGAGGCAAAATCTTATGTGTTTAAAATATAAAAATCATGTTACGCCATGCCGGAATTTAAAATCATGGGAGAATTTAACTTAACTTTTATTTAACACTTACTTATAAAAGCATCTTAATATCCGCCCACTAATTTTACTTCCTTGAAATTAAGGTAAATATAGTCTGCATATTCAATCCAAGTTCTGATGATAAAACTTGGTAACAGAAAAACAAATTATTAACTATGATTTTTAAAGAAATAAAAAAGCATAGCATAGGCTCTACTGTTAGTAGAGAAGAACTAGGTTTAATATCGTGTTGCAAATCGAGCCAAATAACTACTCGTATGTGAAAAATATGTAAAAGAAACCATTTGCACTGTTATTATTAATCAAAAGGACCGAAGAATCTCGTTCATAGAATTGCTGTGCCTCGAGAGCTCGTCGAATTTTCTTTTAGATAATTGTAAAGCGGTTGTATCACACTATTGGCGAGTATGGGCCTATTTGCGTCTCGCAATGCGCCCGCGCCGCGCCGCCGCCACACGTTCTTGGTTTATTTGCGTGTGTCGCGCGTCGCTCCGGGCGTTCACACGCCGCCGGCACGCGATCTGCTCGCCTGCCGACATATATATCAATGATTATTATGCCATTCCGGTTGTAATTTTGAACTGTCGCTATGATGAAATGTTATATAAAAATTAAGTATTACATTGGGCACTAAGTCACCAAATAACACTATGTCAATATCTTAGTGTTTGACTTCTCGTAGACATGTCTGTATTTGATGACTTGACATCTATTTGATGTAGTTTGAATAGATTTCACGTTGCTTGTTTCTGATGCACCAATTTTAACTACGAGGTCTGAGTTGCTATCGATCAATTGCCCTCCAAATATTTTGACACGAATACCGATGTCGATTCGATGATATTATTCACGCAGTGCTTCCGCTGAGAAGGCAGCAGCTACAAGCTTCTTGTTTCTGACAAATGACATGACCTTATCGATCGCCGCCTTAGCGAGTAATTTATCTTCATCTGCCCGAAACTTGTTGATTTACATCTACCGTTTTTATCACTTAAAACGTGAGAGATAATGCATTCCATAATGGATTACGTTCTGAATTTTCAGTCCTATTCTCGAGATTAATTTGCAAATTATGTTGACAATAAACTACGCTCCGCAGATCAAATGCATATTCGTTCTTTGTAATTATGCTCTGAGAGCAATGCAGAAATTTGAAATTCTTTTATTGTTCAGGTCCGTCAGGAATGTGGTCCTCCTACGACAATAGATGTTCCGGAATTGAACGTCCCGCGGCCCACGCCAGGAGCAATGCGACGTGATCCCCTTCGCACCCCGCCTTCTGACGCCGAACTGTTGCTATTCGCAGCCAATCTAGCTGAAAAGAAAAAGTTGTTCGCTTCATTAGCAGACAAAGTGTGCGATGAAACTGACTTCGCACATGATGGCAATGAAGTCTGTTGGAATGGAGACTCTATTGGAGAGTAAGTAACTATTCTAGGTTTAATATAATTGCTTTTATGACTTATTAAAATACGACTACTTATTTAATTTTGGATTATTTAGGTACACGAAACCTCTAGTAGCATCAGCTTCATTAAGTGATCAGAAGTATAATCCGGAAGTAACCGGAGGTAAGCCGGATATACGAGTGGCCGCTCTAGGAGACAAACTGCGACAAGTAAGACAGGTGAGGATTCCAAATGTTAACTTTAACCTTTAACAAACATGCTCCCTCATACACAACTGCATAATATAGTGAACTATTGAAACCTAATATTTTTGGGAAATCCACAAACTATATTAAAAACGAATAAAGTGTGTAAAGTGCACTCGCCATGAATACCATTTGACTGGTACTAAATAAATACAACATAAATTATTTAATACGACAAATATATTAATTTATTTCTTGCTTTATTTATTTTGCCAGGTTCCCAAAAGTATTACTTTTCCAATTTTAGCACTTTATTATTGAGGATGCGATGTGTTAGCTGGTCTATTTCTTTTTTACTATAAAAGCAAACAATTTTTTAAATATTATTATTTTCACGAAATGACATGACGATGCGTATGATATTGTGTTTGACAGGGTGCTTATGGAAATGGAAATGTAAAGTCGTTGTGAAACAAACTAGCAACTCTGTAGTCGCGAAGTTTACGAGGATGACAATTTATTTTAACAGGATTTTATTTATGAAATAATCAACTATCTGATAAGCAGGTAGAAATGCGGTAAAGTCACCTGATCAACATTTTCTCCCATGATAGCTATAAATGTAATCGGGAACTTGCTCATTATGTATATTCGTATAGTTCATTAGTTAAGATGAGATCTATTCTTGGAATGATACATAGTCGTTAGGATTGCCCGCAATGATCGTAAACCAGTCTGCAAATTGCGCTTTTAACGACTTTGGCTACCAGCTGTGATGATTGATGAGTGCGCAGTGATGTGACGCGTTAGCTTTCCTCATATTGCTTGAACAGTAGCCGACGTGGTATTCATAGGTGGGTATAGCAAAAACTCGTGTATAGGTGGCAGCATCTGCGTTAATTACCATGTCATTCATGTTTGTAATTGTATTCCACACGTAATATGATAATTAAAAAAAAAATAGCTACAACACGTTATGTCGGAGATACTTGGAGGGTTCGATATGAGTTTTCTGATAGAAACTTTACTTTAATTAGTTGCTGGTGTCGCACGCATGGGGCGGCAACGTGCCAATGGCGGAGGCATTCATGCAAGGCGATGAGGCTGGCGACGAGGGTTCCGGTTCTGGAGGACGAAGCTACCCCGACGACGATGCTGGTTATGACTCTGAAGGATCGGGAGATGAGGGATCTGGTATTCCAGATATTAGTAAGTCTCAAGATCATTTTGATTGTGTTCATCACCCTGACTTGATATTTGTAAATAAGTATAATATAATATCAAAGTTACTCCTTTTTCTGTTGAACGTAATATTGACGCGGAATTTGATTATAATAAAATTATTTTTCTTCACAACAGAAAGCGCAAAGACGTATCCTGGCGTGGATGACAAGACTTACCATGGCGGGCTCCCACCAAAGACAGACTCCGCTGCTACAGCACAGCCGTTGTTCTCCGTAATGTTGATGATGCTACTATACAGCGTTGGTAGCTGTCTTACTTAAGCAGCCGAATCTCGCAGCTGAGATACAGCACTAACATCGCAGCCCTATAAGCGCGACCATCTCCATATCAAAGTGTGAAGTGACGTGCGAATGCAACAGTTACGTGTGAGTGAGAGACTGCTAAATGCATTAGTAGTTAAGTAGTCTGACTTTATAAAAGACACGTCATTTTGTTGCAGTCCCTAGCTCGATACAGCAGGCGAGCACTGGATTTTAGAGTGTTAAAATATATTAAGGTATGCAGCTTACAGTAGCTAGTCCCAAACTAGATTCCGACGCCATCTGTCCACTTTTACAAAGATTCATTGTAAGTTTTTATAATGAAATCTCAGTTTAGTGGAGCAAACTGACTTGGAGCATTTAAATTTATCTACGTATTGAATCCGCAGATGTACAGAGCATATCATTGTGTATTCATTTTGTAAATATTTTACGGAATTTTGTAGATTAGGTGGATATTATAATGAATATTATGTAATGGAAGCTTTACAAATACTTCTGCATTTAAACACTTTGAAGTGGATAGTGAAATTGTCATAATAATGAAATTAAATATTATTTAAAAATGTTTAAAACTTGTTATGTGTACTAGCTGATCGGCAATAATTTTATTAAGAAAAAAGTATAACGATTAGAGGAGAGTTGTAACAATACTTTAAGGATTGACTGTACAGAGATGTAAATATCTAAAATCCTACTGGTCTAGGTGCTTAGCTAGTAAATATATTTTGTTGCCATATTAATATTACGTATATTATTATTTATAATATTAATTTTATTAAGTCATAATTTAATGTAATACAACATTATGTGATACAGGTTAGGTGTTAAGTTAATGCAGTAGCATTGAATTATTTATATTCGCCTTAGTTATTGTGTTGTATGTACATTAATTTTAATTGCAATCATTCGTAGACGAGCATCTACAATTTCCAAGCAAGTAATAAGCACAATGTTGTTGTAATAGATTTACGTCTATAATCTTAAAAAGGGCCTACGTTAATGGCCTCTAATGGAAAATTCTCTATTACTCCAGTAAACATCTTTTTTACTTTTTCCGATTTTATAAGACCACGAGATGAAACATTTCACTTTTAATAATTTCGTGACGTCGGAGAACATTTCAACTACAGAGTACTGAAAGACCTTATGTAGTTAATATATGATACTAAAAAAAATAATAAATAATATGTAATTCGTAAATATTAATGGATTTTATTGTAAATTGCTTTAATTGGTAGTGGAGACGCCCTGCACCAGCGCCGCCATGTGATGGTAGGGCGGTGGGGGCATGTAAATGTATTGTAGATTATATGAATTGATTCAAATTTGCCACGATCCACACATGAGTCAGGCTATATTCGACACAGACTGTTATATAACGAATGCTAATCTGCATGTCTTGTAAATCTACAAGGCCGGAATGTGACAAGTATGAATAGCGGCAAATATGGACCAATTCGACAATTATGTGGGTTGTTGAGCGTGTAGTGAGGACCATTGGGAAGATATGTGAATATTTACTTCGAAATCTACTGACACTTTCATGAAATCCTTTCCTTACTTCACAATACTTTCATAAGCAAAAAAGGTTCCAGGAAAAGGTTAAAAAGAGGCATTTACCTTACTTATAAATGATTTAAAAAAAAATACGTATAATCTGCTTAACCGAATTTACAAGTATAATTTATACAAAGAAGTACGTACAGTAATCATGTGTATCCTTTCATAATGAAAAATTAATATAATAAAGCCTACGCCTTACATGATATTGTCAGCAGATAGAGACATAATGTATTTCTGAAACATGTAAATATTGTTGGAAAGATGAGAGCATATGAGTCGGAGACAATCGCTGTTAAATTTGAGTATATATTATGGAAATAAACTCTGTACTATATATAGTTCATTAATTTTATTATGTTCTCCTGTGAACCTAAAATATTCATAAGGTTGCGAAAATGTTTTCACTTGTTATATCAGATTATCAAGAACATACTGAAGCGCTGATATTATGAAAAGCTATTATAAGCAAAGCTTGGAATATCGGTATTTTCAGGAATAGGTACCACTAAGCTTACAGTAACGGTACTTGAGATGCTACGGGTATAAATTTATACCTTTATTTTGAGGAACCGGTACAACTTGAGTTGTGAATACAGTTGATTAGTTTTTTCGCTCAATCGCTTAGTTCTATTCTCCATTGGTACAGGTATTCAGTTATTGAAATGGAAATATAAATGAAATAAGTCCATTTAATAGATGTGTAGCGAGGTCAACGCGTAGCAGTGCGCAGAACGACGGATAAAGATGCCAAATTGTAAGTGTACTGTAAGTGGTATATTTCGACAACTTTCGTGAATATGACAAATGGCTAAAGTAAACAATACTAAGGACCCAACACTGTGTCGCTAGAGTGTGAGAGCACTGTCTCTAGTGCCGAAGTTACAAAGTAGCAGAATTAGGGCCGACAAGTCTTAAATGCTTGAATGATGCCGTTGAGTGCCAAATAGCGACGCAAAGAAAGAAAGTATTGATCATACAAAATATATGGGGAGCAATGGAGATAAATGTAGTACTCATATTGTAGTTGTTATCCATGTATTTTTGGTAACAGTTGCGAGCTCTGATTGTAAAGTATGATCTATCTCCTATCTTTACTCGTCTTGCGTAGCATGGTCGGGTTCTGCCGGCGTCGTTCCGACATTTCAGGAGTCATTCGTCGGGGGCTTTTGATCCTGTAGGTAAAATAATAGACATATCATTATATATTCCTGACGCCGCAGCCTGTTTTTCAGCTGGATCAGAACTACATATTTTCGAACTTTATTAAAAATCCGTTGTGTTGATTTTTGACGTGTACAATTGATCCCTAATAGTAGTTCTCCGTAATTCCCGTTCCCTGTATATATTATAACTATCAAAATATTGGGGCTGAAATTAAGTATTTAGGTTTCAGGTTTATATGGCGGCCATCTTATTTGAATTTCGAACATCTTTTACTTATGTTGCCGCATGGTATAATTTCTGATATTTTTCCCGTGAATTTGGGACTAATAACACAGGCCTGCGAACGAATACAATGTTTTAATATTGTTTTATTTCCGTGACGAGAAGTTTTTTCACTTTACATTATTATCAGTTAGTTAGAAGACGAACTTGAAAGTCAAGATGAATACATGGTCTATGCTTGAGTAAATAAATAAATACATTGTTTAAAAAAAAGATGCATTGTTAAAGTTGTATTTGGAACTTGTCATTACTTGCATTCACAAGTTGTCAGAGGCATCTGCGTGCAAAAAGTAAAAAAGTAGGTCACGAAAAATTAATGAATTCGCAACGTCCTCGTACCTTAAATTATTAGTATGGGTATTTTTGGCCGTAATTAATCCAACTACCATAAATACGATTTACTTCTAAACGTTTCCTTAAAACCAATTTGTGAACTGTAATGTTATTATAAAAATTGACGCTACGCACCTTATTACTAAATACAATATAAAGTTCAAAGATATACGAGTGTCGTCTGTATATAATAATATTTTTACCGTTTACCGCTATGTAACTACAAAAGATACAAAAAATACTTTCAAATATCGAAATAAATTTCTTCTTCTGTAACTGAAAATGTATTAAGGCTACGTTTAACAAACATTATCGTGTCAAACTCTACGTCAGAGAACACTAAGCTGACACGTAGCTCCAGACTTTCAGTATATTTAGACGAAACGTTACACTCTATTCCCGCAAGAGAGGTAACGTGGCCTCCTTTCAGGATATTTTATTCATACCGTGCTACAAACTGGAAGCCTCGGCGGCTTGACACATGGATATTTGTCAGCCTGTTTAAAAAGTAAGAATGTACTTTTAGCATGATGTATATAATATGAAGTTTTAAGAAACTTTTGAATAATATTTGCTCTTTGCACAATGGTAGGTTTTTAGAACACAAATCTAAGTTCCGTTGTCGCAGTTTATTATAAACGACGGTGCTGAATACGTCCTATTAGTAAGATGTAGTTCTATGACGTGAAGTCGGTTGAAATCATCAACTACAAGTTTAACGATGGATCATCTGTTAGGGGGATTTCCATAACGTTTTTCTCTCGTAAATACTTTGTTGTTTTTTATTATTACACGTATGTGTTTCAAAATGATTTCAAACTATATGTTCCAACTGTTTTCCAGTGGCAGTTTCTTTTTATTCGGTCTAACAATTGTCTCGACAGCAAGGTGATGCCGTTGATGTCTTTAGTACCGACAACAAACGGAAGTCGTCAGTTTAAATGTGCTATGCATTTGCAAACATTTTTGGAGGTTGTTTATTAAATTTACAAGACTCCAAAATATACGTAAATATCGATGTAATTATTAGAATCATTGAGTAAGTTTATTTATTTATGCAAATATTCTCAAAACCATAACTCAAGTGGGTACCGGGCGAGAGGCCAGGTTACAACTGGTATAACTATTAAGAAAAAATCCACGTCACTTAGTTAAGTCATAATAGACGTATTTTTGAAAATGTTCAAAATCGACACCCTACATCATGTTAAAACTGTACTGTTGTTACAAATTTGCCAATTTCGCAGTGCGCAAAGTTTTCAAAGCCATAATATTTCAATTACGAATATGCGTACGTGTAGTATAAAGACAAAACTATTTTCATATCAGTCGCAGTCGTCCTTTTAATTTGACATACAGCGTACTTAAATAATAATATACTGAGTTTCTTGGCTAGTATTGGTACGTATGTTTTCCAATAAATATCCAATTCCTAAGACTGCCAACAAACTCGTGTCAAAAAAAGTCGTGATCAACTGCTTGCAGTCGTCACTACAACTGCGTGCAGTCGAGAGTTCAAATGCAAGCGTCGACTGCAGTCAATGTGAACGATTGTTAGAGAATCAAAAGTAGTTAGAGAATACATATGGCGCACTATAAGTTTCCGGAACTGGCCACTTACATAAACAATATTTGAAAAGTAATTACAACATTTGAAAATGGAACTCTTTGGCTTTAGAATACAGTTTGTTTCATCTGACTGTCACTTGTTTTTACATTGTGGCGTCATTTTAGAAACTAGTTGTCTCCGTCACCATGGATTTAGCTCGTGAATATTTTCGTAGTATGATTTTCTACGACAATAAGTGTAATTTAACAGCTCAGCTGAGCTTCGCTCGGCTTCAAACTTTTGACGATGAAGCACCATGCAAAACGACTGTTTATAGCTAGTTTGCAGAATGGAAACGCGGTCGTGTGAATCTCAGTGATGAATTTCGTGATGGTCGCCCGTTCACTGCCGTGAACAACAAAAACATCGATGCTGTGCGCTGTATGATCAAAACAGACAGCCATGTGACATACCTTGAGATTCGACCATCTTCAAGTATAGACATGAGTCAAATACAATCAATAGTACACAAACATTTGGGTGTGAAAAAGCTGTGCTCTTGGTGGATCCCACACAATTTGACTGAGTCTCAAAAAACGGATCGCGTCACTTGGTGCAATGCCATGCTTACCAGATACAACGAAGGGGCGTCAAATTTGGCGTGGGACATAGTAACAGGTGACGAAACATGGATTTATAGTTACGATCCCAAAACAAACCAGCAATCGAGCGTATGGGTCTTTCGAGATGAGCCGAAACAAAC